TGGGACGTCAAAAGATTTTTCTCTAATTGCAAGCGATACTTGCGCACCTAAAATACAATTCCTTACATCCCTAGCTAGGGGTTTGAACGCGTTTCAAAATGTTAATTTATAACAATTTATTTTATATTTTCTGATAGCCTTTTTTTTATATAGAATAGGGGGCAAGGCGATGCTCACCTGATGTTAAGTGATACCGCCGCCCATGGACACTCTCAATGCCAGAGGGCTCGCGAGTGCGTTGCCGGCCTTTTAAGAATTGGTACCCTATTTTCTAGAAGGGCCCTAAGTCGAATTAGTTCGGAAATACGTAAGTGGGCAGCTGGTTCCACATAGTGATGGCTTCTTTCATAGATGAACAGATAATAAGCCAAAATCATTACTGATATAATTGCAACGTGTATGACGGACGGTCGCCAACAAATGGCAAAGATAATTAATTAAATTTTAAGAAAAACAGCAGAAAAGTTATAACAGCTAACTTCAATAGTGATACCAATACTGATTTTATTAATTTTCGTGACACGTAATTAAAGTTTAACACGAAACTATTGAAAATATTGAAACTTTTGGGTTTTGCTTCGTGACGTTAAGTCAGCCAGTCAAATGTTAAGTGACTGGTTGGGCTTATATAAAAATAAAATCTAATAAGTTCTGTAAAATGAGAAGTTGTTTATTCTTGAAATAAGCTTGACACAGCTGTCGCTTTGCGTAAGATGACTTGATAACATTTCCCCCTAAACTGTAAAAGGTCTTATTGTGATATCCCGTGAGCTTATTAAAAAAAAGTGCGTGCGTACAAAGTCATGTCAGAAGTGAATCTTCTTTGGCATACAAATTTTTAAGTCGTTCATACAAATCTAAAACTTTGGATTTCCGAGACTTAGAGGGAGGGGAAAAGGAAGATATGTTAGGAATTTAATGAATTTAATTGTCATTAAAATATTAAAAGTGTCGAAAATTAATACAAATTACAAATTTAATTTTTTAAATTTATTTCTTCGATGATAAAAACACGTGGCATTTTAATTTACAATTCGTCATTTGAGATTTCAATAAATAATTTTGCATAAAATATAAAATACTAATATTTCATAAATTCTCTTTACGAAATTTTAATTTCTAAAAGGAAATTTGCCCTTCTCACTCTCTCTCAATCGGTCTCAATCACTCTCTCCCTTTTTTTCGATAAAAACGCTGCACATCTTCGTGACGCTAATATTACTATAATTGTGTTTCATCCGTAAAAAAAATACCTTCATGCGCCAAAAGATATTTACTTCATAAAAAGCGCACTACAAATCCTGGTCTTCAGATTTCTGTTTCTTTCATCATATTTCTTTGTAGTAACCCTACCTACTTGAGGGTTCTTTGCTTAAGATGGCGTTTCTAGAGTCTTCAGAAACATATTGGATTTGATATACGGCAGTCATATTAGACTCGATTTGGTTAAACACTAGATTTTTGAAATGGAAAGTTATTATTATAAGTATTGTTTTAGTTATAAATATTTGCGATTATCTCAGCGGTATTTGGTGATCAAGTTTGTCGATCACAGAGATTACGTTCAAGTTTAAATATAGTACTTCCCAAAATCGCTATCGTTCATTGTACTCAACGTTGGCCGAAATATAACAAGGGTTTAATATGAGCTCTTTAGCAAAACACTGGCACTGGAAAATTTACGTTCTCAGGTTGATTCTAGTTAAATGAAATTTAATTGTCTAAGATTCCATTTTTATGGGCGAAAATGCTCGCCCTCACCGTTCTGATAACGTACATGCAAGTCCTGACTTCAATCTAATTGAGAATGTCTAGGATATCTTCAAGAGACGAGTAAGATTGCAGAAGAGTGGGAAAGTATTCCTCAAAACTTCAAAAAAAAATCGTGAAAAGCATGCCTGGATTCAAGCTGTGATTCTGACAAGAGGAAGTCACACTTAAGTGAAATCGACGTTAGAACGTTACTTTCCTTAGGTGCCCGTTTAAAAGAATTTATTTGATTTACTATATATATAGAAACTGAAAAATTAACAGTAATCGTAAGCACTTGCGACAAAAACCCATCGATCAAAGCCCTTAAAGTTGAACATTGTTTGAATTACCTTAATAACCTGGCTCGATTTTATAAAGATATTATGATTATATAAACATGAAATCGAGATAACAAGCTCAAGGCACGCCTGAATAGTCAATACCAAAAAGGATTTGGTTTTCTAGCCAATTTCTTAAATAAAAATCTTATATGAAATATGTTTCGATACCTAAGGTTAAGTAATTTTGTTGTAAAAAGGGTCTTTCCAAAATAGCCTATACGTTGAGTATTTTTAGATTATCGTCGTCAAGTATCATAAGTTTCTAGTAGGCATTTTAAATACAATATTTTTTCTATAAGACGTATTTTTTATCAGTGAAACTTTTTGTGGATTGTCCAATGTGTTTATTTTATGTTTTACTTTTATTTTATTTTTACTGTATAGAGATGTATCTGTTTAGTTACCTTAATTAATAAATATTTTGTATTTTAATTAAAAATAATACAGAAATTCATGTGACGGTGGAAAACAAATCGATCACAATTACTCCGTCCTCCGACGCGTCACATGCATTACAATAATAATAATAATAGCCTTTATTCAGATAAATTTTTTTGGCAAAGGCCTCCTCCAAATCCCGCCATTCCTCTCTGCACTGTGCCACTCTCTGCCATTACAATAAATACTTATAAACAAATAAACTAATTAATGTCCAAAATATAAAAAAAACAAACATGATAATAGGTTTGTACAAAAGTTTAGTACAAACTACGACTACATGACTGTGTGTTTAAAAGTTTAAATTAAGTAGGTATAATATAAAAGAAGGAACAAATATTTAAACAAGTTACGACAGACAACACCATACAACAAACGCTTAGTTGTTAAAATGATACTTTGAACTTAACCATATTATGATAAAATCATTACTTTTTTTTTAATTTCTTTATTTTACAAAAAAATATAATACAATCATAATAAGATACATTAGAAAACCGCTGTGGTTTGTATTAATGTAACGAATTACACGGGGACTCATATGTCAATCGCCGTTTTTTACCGTTACCCTCAGAGAAAATTACCCTCTTGAAAAGGGCACACATGACAATGTATGGAAATAATTAATGAATCCATAGATTAACAGACTTTTTAATTGTCCGCTGAGTGAACTGACAAAAGGTTTGCTTTATGTCAGTGCCTTTAGAAATAGTCGTATTGTAAATATTTTAATCTTTTACTGTATAAAGTCGAGTGTTTTTTATGTGATATAAATGTAAGTAGTTGCCGCATTGAAGTTATCTGTAATGGTAGCTTGTTTAGTTAAAAATAAATAAATTTAATCTAATCATAAAAATTGACCTAATAGTCCGGTCAACCTAGACCAAAAAATGAGAGTGAAGGTACATAAAATCCCAACAAGCTGAAAATCAGTAAAATTGTTCAAAAGTAATTATATATAATATTTAAAAGGTCCCCATCATTCTCGTGTATGGATTATTTTTTATTCAAGATCAAAGTTCAAAAAATTGAGTTTTTCGCAATTTTCAGCAAAACGGTAAGTTTTATCATAAAAGTACTTTGACAAATTTTAGATCATAAAATTATCTATAAAAATGTATCAATACTTTTTTGCTACGAGCCACCGCTTCTGAGATATACCGATTCAAAAAGTCATAAAACTTATTATATTATGTTGTTGGGATTGTGCACACACCTTCGAATGTCTAAATTTACCGGACTATAAATTACATCTATCATGTAAAAAGTCAAGAAATTTACTTTTACACTTAAATCAATAGAAATGTCTATCTTTTATCTTTCAAAATCGTCAATAGCGTTTTCAGTTGTTTTTGTCGAACAAAATATTTGTGTCTACAGAAAATCGCTTGCATTAAATAAATCTACACATTTACATGTGACTAAGCGTATACTCAGTGTCATATGAAGAGCATGAATACATAATACACACAGTTGCTCCAATTTCACGCAGAATTATACGTATAAGCCGACAATAACCAGAAACGAGGCATGAAAGTCATCTGCAATGCAAATTTATTAACTTGCAGCCGCCACGTACCAAACGTGAAACGGGTGCCTCAACACTCAATTAAAGCGAAACTATAATAATATATTTTAATTAATATATAGCCCAATAATTCACTTGCTTTCCAGGTATGACAGTTTGGGTAGCCATTTTATAGTAAAAATATTTTTTTTATATTAAAAAATGGAAAAAGTGTTGTTTTTTAATCAATTTCTCTGAAGCCAGTTAGGAATCATTAATGAATTTCAAATTTTTAATTTTGAACTGTCTGTTGGTGACCGCATTGAACAAAAAGATTGCGGTGCCAACGTTGTCTTCAATGGCGGCTTAATATTCTTGATGAATATCTTTGTAGAATTATGCAATCCAAAACTTCTTTAAAATTTCTAATAAATATTAATTAATAATAATTATCATGCATAATACAATCTGTAGAATGGATTCCTCTGAAGATAAAAAATCTACTTAGTCGAAACATATACTTTGATTATATACGAGTACTATATAAAAGTTAAGAGGAATATTGGTGTAAAAATGTCAAATTTTTTGGTTTCACTATACAATTTCATAATAGAACATTTTATTTTTATTATGAAATTGTATAGTATCGAATAACAATATTTTAGTTACAACTTTAAGTTTTTTTTTATTTCACAACCTTTTTCGCGTATAAAACAATACTGGCCAGTATAAAAAAAACAATCTTGAAAAAGAAACTTTAATCAAACGGCACAAAGACAAAAAGCAAACATCTTAATTTATAGTAACAGCATTAAGCAATATTCCAATTTATTCTACATTTAGTTTGCAATGTGCGACTTAAGAAAATGACGGTCTTTTTGGTGACAATTCTAAACTATAACTAATTATTAAGTCAAACTTTAAAATCTTGATCTATAAAGCGATATTATTACTAAGCGATATTATGAGAGAGTTAGCATTTGTGAGTGTTGGGTAATATGCATTCTGCCTTGACGTGGCGCTGGTTCACTTCGAGTTTTTAATTTACAGCGGAGAAGATCCAATGTGTTTTGCCACAAACGGGTCTGTTCTTCCACTGCACCTTGACGCGAGCTTATTGCTCGTTGCTCCTGAATATAATTTTCGATTTGTAATGAAATATTTAAAATAAATTAAAGTAGTAAAATAAAGAAAAAAAAACAACTGAAAATCAGCAAAACATAAAATTAATTTAAAAAAATATTAATTTCGGTATATCTGTTTAGTCAACAAGTACATTCCAATTGTTGAGCAACATTAATGACTAGTAAATTAGTTTTTATTTATTAGTAATTAATCGTTATGACTTAAAAATTATATGATTACAGTAACATTACTAGTAAATACAGAGCTCGAAATACGATGTATCTTTAGCTTCTAATAGACCACAAGCCCATGAACAAAAAATACCTGTGAAATGACCCAACGTGAATTACGCTTAGAAGGCTGTTACTATATCTGAAAATAGCTCTGAGCACTATGCCGTCATTTCTGAGCGGTACATGTGAGTACGTGAGTGAATGGACTTTCTCAGGTACAATTGGGGAATTTCAACTAATTATTAATGTACGGCTTTGTTATAAGTGTCTAGATGATTAAAAATAAATGTCGAAAAACCTAGTGCCGTACTAAAGTGATGGTGCCGGAAGTCGGTGCAAATTTTTAATTCGACGACAGTTGCAGAAGCAATATAGGTCATTTATTACTGTACGGCATTTGTGTGATTCCTTTTGGACACATATACAGATACTTTACCCGTAAACGCCGTACATATTTCCAGCGGAGCGGTCGAAAGCCAAGGGTCGGAACCCTACCCCTACACCCATATACCCTAAGGTCATTGTAAAATGTACGGCAACATGTTCAAAATATTATTTAACACGGACAATAATGTTTTATAATTATGCCGTCCAAAAATTATAGTTAATATTTGTGTAAATAAATATTTATCGAAATTTCAGGATTTACCGAGTTATTACTGCTGTAAGATCAGAGAATAATGTACGGCAACTTGTTTTTTTACATAATGCTACTAAATGTTACCGTTGTACCTTATAGCCGTTCATTATAAATGGTAACAAATAAAAATATTATGATAAAAAATATATGAAATTTCCTAAATTTAGATGATTTTTCAAATATTCCTAAAGTTATATGAGGAGTAATATTTTCAAAGATTATTGTTATTTTATATGTAACAAATATAAATAAACAAAAAAAACCAGATGCCGTACATTTTGCTCCAGATTATTCTTTACAGCTGATAAAAACTTCGACGACGTTTGAGGTGTCCCTTAAGGTCATTAATAACTGTACGTATCTGAGTATACTACCATAAGGCTGGAAAGTATATTTACAGCCTTATCGTACGAGCAGAGAGAGGTAAAGGAAAAGTATTTTTAACAAAAATAAAAATATAATACAGGGCGTCCCAAAGTTATGGGACATGAAGGGAAAGTACCTTTAATATCGTAGATAGGGTATTTTACTGAAAGAAGACTTTACGTTATTTTTAAAAGTTAGTAATTCTGCATTAAAAGATTTTGAAAAAATTACTAGCCTCGTCTGGAAATCGAACCGGCTTAAATGTAAAAAAAACACCCCTACTTTTATGATACCAATCGAAAGAATGGCCAAAATAACTTTTCTAAAGTAACAGACTAGTAGGGGATTTTTTTAGGCTGAATACGACAGATAATGTTTTTAATTTGATTAAAAAGATATATTCACGCAGTTCCTTTCTTTTAAAATACTATGTTACTTAAGAAGAGTTATTAGTTTTTGGCCATTGTTTGGATTGGCATCATAAAAGTAGGGGTTTTTTTTTACATCAAAGTCGGTTCGATTCCCAGACGAGGCAAGTAATTTTTAGAAAATGTTTGACGGCAGAATTACTAACTTTTAAAAATAACATAAAGTCTTCTTTTAGTAAAATACCCTATCTACGATATTTAAGGTACTTCCCCTTCATATCCCATAACTTTGGGACGCCCTGTATTGGTAGGCGGTGGTATAATCTGCCATTTCACAGACTAGCGGACTATCGAAAGTGCGTTCACGGCATTTATGTTTTATTGAAGATTGTCTAAAGTATTAATAACCTGTGTTATTGCCGTACAGATAAAAGTCACCGGAAAATGACTCTTTTTCGGAGGGAAGTAATTTACCCCATACACCTATGTGTTCCACAAAAAATGTACGGCATGCTGGAAAATGTTACCTATTTGTGAAGAACTCTCAAGATCATTTAATTTTATGTTGTTCTATATCATCATCACCTATATTCTAATCAGAGATATGTTGCAACCCTTGGCTTTCGACCGCTCCGCTGGAAATATGTACGGCGTTTACGGGTAAAGTATCTGTATATGTGTCCAAAAGGAATTACGACTTCCGGTACCATCACTTTAGTACGGCACTAAGTTTTTCGACATTTATTTTTAATCATCTATACACTTATAATAAAGCCGTACATTAATAATTAGTCGAAATTCCCCAATTGTACCTGAGAAAGTCCATTCACTCACGTACTCACATGTACCGCTCAGAAATGACGGCATAGTGCTCAGAGCTATTTTCAGATATAGTAACAGCCTTCTAAGCGTAATTCACGTTGGGTCATTTCACAGGTATTTTTTGTTCATGGGCTTGTGGTCTATAACGCTCGATAATTATTATATCCAAAAAATCTCACATCTTCCAAATTTCGGACAATATCCTCCAAGTCAGTAATTTTCCTCTTCATAGATTCCATCTTGGACGGCTGGCGCGGTGATTGCATTGAGTTTTTCATTTCAAACATCACAACTTCCTGCAAACTTTCCGCCTTCATAATCTTTTGCCGCAAATTTTTCCATTCGTCCTCTTTACTCTGTAACTCGTCCGTCAGTGCCTTCACTTGATTCTTTAGGGGTTCCATTTGGGACGATATATTTATCGATGTCGCCTCATACACCCTCTTCTTCTGTTCGTATTGTTGTTGTACGGTTTGGAAATCGTGTTTTATTGGTTTAATTTTGTCGGCTAAAGGTTGCAGCTCTTGACGTACTTCAGAAAGTTTTTGGGCTGTCTGCGCTACGAGCTAGAGTAAAAATAATAAGGTTTGTTCAAAATACATTTACATTGCGTGATTATTAGTAGTATTATAGATATAATTCGGAGATTTTTAAGGAAAAAGCCATGCTTGAATACGAAATAAGTGCATTTAAAGTGCAAAAATTCTCTCAGGGGTCAAGTTCTCATTTTATACAATGCTCAAAGTTCACTTTTCTGGAAAACAATTTCAATCATGTTTCACGTAGTAATGAGATTAAGAAAGAGCAGAGTTGGCCTAGTGGCTTCAGCGTGCAACTCTTAGTCTAATTAATTAAACATAACTGATTTATTTTTATTTTTTGTAAGGCAAATATACTAATTTTAATATAATATAACGAATAACTTTACTAATTTCTTCACGCTAGTTAATATTAAAATATTACTACTATTTATATCACCTGAGACAAATCATGTAATGACTTTTTCGTTAATTCAGATTTCGCATCTTTCTCTATGTCTTCCTCGTCATCTATTTTCATTTTTTTATAATTCAGCAGAGCCATTTCAACAGTTGGGTCCGCCGTGCAAATTATTTGCAAAGTCCTAGTCAAAATTCCCGCTTCAACCTTAAAAAGGACTCAAGTAAACAACTTAATAAAATAAAGTCCGTCGAGAAAAGTCTTATATCTTAATACCTTAAATGTTGACAGATTGGCTCTTTGTCGTTTATACACAGTACTTTTGGTTCGTAGTGAATTTACATATTTTTTCAATTCTTCTCCCCTCAGCACCATATCTCCAAGGAGCTGTTTTACCTATAGAAAAGAAAAGTTCTTTATCTGAACGTTTTTAATTAAAATTCGTTATCTGATTGTGGATTAAACGAAAGCAATTCATAGAGCCACTTAAACAACATCCGAATGGCGTTCTTAAAGCGTTATCCCCCGGGCTTTCGCAAAATGAGCGATTACACGAAATGAGAAAAATATCTGATCGATTTCTCGGCATACGCATCGTTTGTCATCAATAATTGATTGATGTTTGGCCAATCCTTAATGAAAGAATATCATAAGAAAACAATGTGTGTTAATAAATATAATACAAAATCTTGTCACTTAATTATCTAATGCAGTTAGTTAATCTTTGTATGGATTTGAATGACTAACTATAACAGTTAAAAATAAAATTAAAACATCAAAATTTACATCGCTAAAATCGTATTTAAACACAAATATAAAATATTGGAACGGGGAAAAATCTCACCCCATCCGAGCCAAATGGGACACAGGCCCACTTAAAATTGGAGGGTTGGCACTGACGACACTTATCGAAGGTTATAACAGATCCCCGTTGCCTTTATTACTCTACAGATTCGCATTCATAAAATATTATACATAAAAAATATATAAATCGCATTTTATTATGAAAAAAGTATTGAACAACTTCTTCTAAATGATGTAGCAATAAGCAAGCAATTTTCTTACTTATGTAAATATTGTTTAATATATATTTCTGTAATAAACTTAACAACGGTAATTGGATAGTTTGATTAATATTTATACATGAAGATGTCTCTAGTGGGACCTGCGTCAGTTACACTAAAATTACGGAGTTTTCGAAACCAAACCAAGAAGAATGTAAGATTTAAATATTGGGTTAATAATAATTTATTTATATAAGATTACATGCATTTGTAGTTGTAGTAGTAACAACTTAGTTGCTATGTTAGTATTAGTTAGAAAACACAACAAAAAAACACCTATAGTGGAAAGCATACCAACGTTTTAAATTGAGCGTATTCTGTGTGATCAACACATTTATCATACCATTGGACTACTACTTACTATGCCCACGATATATCAAGGATACCAGCCTTTTCCGAAAACCGTTATTAAAACTGCAAGTCCGGGTCTCGGCAAACATACCTGACGCATTGCAGAACCTTGGCAAGCCCAACAGCAACCTGAACGTGTTGTTATACTGAACAAGGAGCGTTTCAACTCCTTCTGGGTAAAACAGGCCACGCTTTACGCACCCACGCAAGTAACAGGCCAGGCTTCACGGGTAAAACTAAGTAACTTTGACTTCTAGTGAGCTACGTGCAAACTTCCGGGCCCGCATTATTCCCTACCACTAACACACTTCATCAAACGAATCGATAAAACGTAAATCGAGCTAAAGTATCCACGATATTATGTTCAAGTTTCGTCTAAAATTATTTTTCAAAGCGCTAATCTACAGAAATATCTACATTTTATAGCGTGTCAAAATCAAAATCATTTATTCATATAGTATACACAATGTACACTTATGAACGTCAAAAAAGAAATATACATTAAATGCTTCTAATTTTACATATACTATCTACTAGTTCTCAAATCAAGGGCGTAGAACGGAAGAGAATAAGTCAATACACTCTCCGCCACTCCTTTTAATCGCTTTTGTTTTACACATTGTTTGTAAGGAGCTGCAACCGTTACACCATGTTCCACATGACATCTAAAATAATGAATTAATAATAATAGTCGAATTAATAAAAATATAGATTAGCTATGACGCAAACATTCAAACGAGCGTAGGAAATATTAAATTACTTTTTTATTATATCTCTCGTTATTTTTTTTTATTTTTTTCTTTGATTATTCTTATTTTGTGTGTTTATGTGTATGTGTTTTTGTTAGTAATAAATGTTATGTCTACGTCTACGTCTACGCAGCCGGGTAATAGCTTACTTGTGATTGTACGTCTGCAAGTGTAGCTTCATGTTCCTTCAATGTAGCGGTCAATTCGTGTACATGAGCCGCGCTTGCCTCCTTGTTCCGTTTTATCACTGACGCTTGCTGTCGAAATGGTGCTAGCTTGTCTTCCTGCGACCCCGATGTAGCAAGCTTTTGCTGCACTAACTGTTCTATTTCCGCGTTTACATTAGCAATCTGTAGATAATTATAAATACAACCCCACTACTACGCTTCTATTAGATAATGTTGTTAGACTCGATATCCGCGTAACTTTGAAGTTACAGGAAATAATATAATCAGTTTAATTCAATAGCTATTACATAAACCATTTTGTAATATTTATATAATTTAATTTCGTCTACGCTATGAAAAGAGCCAGAAGAGTTAAAACGATTCAATTAGAATAATTTAGTTTTTGAGAATAAGAAAAACCCAGTAAAACCAGTAGGTCTGGGTCTAAGATTTCTTTTTGTTATAATTTGTATTTTTCTAATAGGCAAGTAGTTATGCCTGACACAAGCCATCGACTTAGTACCCACTAAGGCGTACCAGTTTCTCAAGATGTTTTTCTTCACAGTACAAACGAGTGTTAAATGCGCAAATAGACGTCGTCCACGTCCATTGGTCGTGTATCGAACATAAGACCTCAAATATGATCGTCGCACGCTGAAACCACTAGGTCAACACTGATATTTTTTTTGATGAGGGATTATTACCATCCTTTACCCTGCATATAGTAGTATAAGTATATAGTAGACATAAACTTCCAAATAAAACAGAACATTAAGATTTTCGTAAATGCGTAAATCTTACCTTTTCTTGAATTCCGTTTAAATCGTTACGAGTCGGATGTTGTTCCATGGCAACTGTTTGCATAATGTTGAGCTCTTTTTGTAAATTGTTACATTCTTGAGGTAATTTTTCTTTAACCAAGTAATTATTTAACTAAAATAAAAGAGAAGTTGAGATATCGCTAATAATTATTAAAACTACTACTACAATTACGATATTGTATGTAATGCTTCTTGATATAAGTAATAAACAACGAAACACGATAAGTCTAAAGTAGGAGTGAAACGGGCGTCTCTATCTGATAAGCGAATTTTTCCAGACAATTCGAGAATCCCTCAGCACAGATACGTACAAAAAAAGTGAAGTAAAATAATCTCACTACAAAAAAACAATGTTATAAAGGGATTTTCTGTAAGAGTTATTTAAAAAAATCCTTAAGGACGAAACAAATCTTATAAACATTTAAAACTGTAGAATTAAATGAACAGCTTAAATTAATTACCCACTTAGTTATCACAAGTATTAGTTTTTGCATACTTGTTACTATGGTTGTTAACATTTATTTATATGTAATAAATCATACACACATTTACTATTAAAGCGTTTCTACCTATCTCTCTCGTTTCATCACAGAGGGAGAGACTTTATTAGTACAATTTAAAACTCAACTTATTAACAACTACAACTTCGTCTAAATTACCTGTATTTCTTCTTGAAGATGTTTAATCACATCCGTAGCTGTTTTAGGAACCGCGCTTTGCCCATGCATAACGTTCAAATATCGTTTGAGTTGATCACTCGCAGTTTTAAGTTGTGTTTGTTGGGTTTCATACTGTCCATACATTAGAATTAATGTAAAATAATTAAAATTAAACTTAAACTATTTTAACGTCCCATTAAGATCAATAAACCAAGGGGGTGACGATTTAAAACGACATAATATGTAGCCGTGCGTTTGTGATTGGACAAGCGTATTGTCCTCGCGTATTAGACTAGCGATGCTGAAGTAATCACAAACGGAACGAGCCGTCGTCCCGTCTTTTTACATACTTATTCACTTAATTCTAAATCAATAACAAATTTAGAAGTGCCAGTTAAAGTAAATTACATCTAGCAAATTGTATCCGGTAAAAGTAATTGCTGCCCCACGGGAGTTACTTTTTAGTACCCATAGATCCCAGTAGGCAGATAAATGTGGATAAGGTGGTTGTAAGCCGGTTTAGGAGTAACATTCTTGTTTCTTTGCTAATTCAAAGCCTTCCTAACAACAGTAAGTTATTAAAACCGAAACACTGAATATTTTAAAATTTAAATTATTTTCCCAATGAATATGCCGTTCCTTATTTCTGAGTGATGCTCTAAGACAGGAAACATCACACCGATTCACGTATATCCTTCTAAATTTCTTGTTGAATAACCATTAAATTTCATGGTACTATTACATTACACACATAGGCATATAACTCAGTCCCCAGAAACAATAATTGCAAGATCTTATCAAGTTACGAATCCTTTGAGGCTATTTGAAATAATGTTCTAGCATAAAAATCGCAATTTAAATAAAGTTATTAAAACGACTTCATAGCTTTGTACTTGAAACTTTTACGGCGTGAGAGCTTTTAAAAGGCGTGCGTACTTGTGCCTTCAATTCCTTGGCTCGTTCTTGTTGCACTCGTAAAAGTTTACTCTCATGTAGGAGGTCGTCTTTATTTTTCACATCAGCAAGGTGAACTTGAACATTCTCCAGTTTCTTTATCACTGAAAGAATAACGCGATATTTATTGTAGACTATAAATATTGTCATATAATTCATACATTAATATTTTTTTAATTTGCATTTTAATAGCTATTTATTAATACCATAACATGGAGAACTAAACTTATGTGGTATAACGCACAAACTATTAAATACAATTCATTTGAGATATCTCATATGATGTTTAAAGTGCCGTAATGTGTCATCGTGAAAGTCGGTAACTAACTTAAATATAATATTGTGTATGCTTGTTAAATAAATATTGTATTGTTGTTAAATAAAAAGTCATAGTATGTTTGAGATTATTAAAATAAGAAATTCACAAAAAAATTCAATTATTAAAAATACTTGATTAACTTAAACAGCCACTACAATACATTTAATATCCAGGATTGTTATCTTAAAGTAACACGGATTTATAGTCAATACCTGAGAGAACAATCGAATCATGAGGTAAAGGTAAATTATATTTGCCGTAACCTTCAGACAAGCAAATAGAGTCCTCAGATTGAGACCTGACTAATGAGAGACTCCAGAGAAATCAAATCACGTATTCCGTAAACACAGGAGTTGAATCAGATTTATTTGGCTTGACATTATGATGCAATAACGTGGAATGTAAAGAGATTTGAGGCGATGAAAGAGCGCAGAGACTAAAGCTGACAGATAAATCTATGATTTCTTGTCGTTTTGCTTATATGAAATCGCAGAGGGAGATTATAACACCGTCACAAGATGTGTGAAGTGAGTATTACGAGTACTAATATAGATGAAGTGACAACAATTGTCTAGGAACTTGATTTCATTCTTTTTAATTCTAATTAATTATGTATTAAAAGTTTTGCAATATTTTAAGCTGAGATATTTGCCTGTTGGAGTATCGATTACCATAAAATTTATTTCTGATATCCAATTTTATCATTAAAATTTCAAGTCGATTTTACAATATGATTTTCACTGAGAGCCAGTGGGTAAAAATATAATTTAGTGAAGTGATAATTTGCCTACACGTGAAGAAATTTTTTGGTTGAAAATGTTAAAATGAAATATTTTAAAACGGAGTTCCAATCCAATTTTAATTCACAAAACTGACCTGCGGATCCGTTGACAACGAAGAATTAATTCTAGTCAATGTATTGTGATCAGCATAATTAAAGAAATATATTTTGAAAAGTAAATGAAACAGAATTAATAAATTATTTTCCATTCTTGGAAAGATTTAGATTCGACCTATTAGTAGACGACTCCCATGTGTCGAACCCAATCAGTTTTTGATATACGGATGTCATACTTAACGAATTAACATAAAAACGAAAAGCGAATCTATTTTTTTTTAAATCAGTTACAGAGTATTCACATAAATATTGCAAATCAACATTATCGTGGGGTGGATATATAATGACTAAGTAATAAAAAGCTTTTAGATATTTTTTTACACATTTTTCTTTATAAGCAAAATAATAATAATAATAATAATAATAATAATAATAATAATAATAAAGTCATTTAATCATTTAGGTACCATTTGTACTCTTATGCATGTCAACTCGGTTATCCTCATCTTACAGCGGCACTAGTGCCCACACATTGTCATCGTCTATAAATTCCCGAACAGTGTAATATCCTCCCTTTGTTAGGGTTTTCTTGATACAAAGCTTAAACTCATGAATCGGAAGTTTGGTTACACGGTCCGGAATCTTGTTAAATATGTGTATACATTTCCCCATAAATGAGTGAGCAGTTTTATGCAGTCTGAAAGCTGGAAAATCAAGTCTATTCCTACTTCTTGTATTTAAATTGTGACAGTCACTGCGCTTTATAAATTTATTAAGGTTTTTATAAACGTACATAATATTTTCATACACATATTGGGAGGCAACTGTTAAAATACCAATCTCTTTAAATAATTCTCTTAGCGAGTCACGCGGTTTTAATTTGTATATAGCGCGTATTGCTCTTTTTTGTAAAACAAAAATATCTTGAATATCGGCCGCTGAGCCCCACAACAATATACCATATGTCATAACACTATGGAAGTAACTGAAGTATACAAGCCTCGCCGTTTCGACATCAGACAACCATCTAATCTTTCTTATCGCAAAAGCAGCCGAACTAAGTCTTGACGATAGGTTTGTAATATGGGGCTTCCATTGCAAACGAGAATCTAGAGTGATCCCTAAAAATACAGTTGAATCAACACATTGAATTATTTCCTCATTAATATTAATGTTTGTACTGACCTGTTTTACGTTAGGCAAAGAAAATCTAATACATTTTGTTTTATTAGAATTTAGTAACAAGTTATTATAAGTAAACCAACACATAACTCGGGAAAGGGCATCATTCACCTCGTCAAAATTTATTGCGTTCCTACTGATTTTAAAAATAAGAGATGTATCATCTGCAAATAATACCGTTTCACATAAGTTATTTACATAAAATGGCAGGTCATTTATGTAGACAAGAAAGAGCAACGGCCCCAATATCGACCCCTGAGGCACACCTATGAGAATAGGAGCTCCTAAAGACTCTGCTTTATTTATAACCACTTTTTGTAATCGGTCACTCAAGTATGAATTTATTATTTTTATTGAGTTTGCTGAGACGCCATAATACTGTAATTTTCCCAATAATGTTTTATGGTCTACACAGTCAAAAGCCTTGGACAGGTCACAGAAGACAGCTAAAGCATCCTGTTTATTTTCCCAGGCATCGAATATTTGCTTCATGAGCTCCACACCCGCATCCGTACTACATCTACCCTTAGTAAAACCGAATTGTCTATCATGAAATAGTTTATTTAATCTAAAATGTGAAAGCAATTGATTATGAATAATTTTTTCAAATATTTTACTTAGAGTTGGTAAAATTGATATAGGGCGGAAATTCGTGGGGTCCGATTTGTCTCCAGACTTAAATAAAGGAATAATTTTACTATATTTCATGAGATTGGGAAAAATCCCATCATCGATACATCTATTAAAAATAATCGTTAGATAAGGAGAAATATTTCCAATTATTGGTGCTATTACAGCTACTGATATGCCCCATAGATCTTCTGTTTTCTTCTTATTCAACGATCTAAATGCCTTTACAATAGAATCCGTGTTAATTTTATGAAAATCGAATGCACTACTATTTTTATTTGTGCTAGACGTTAAAAGTGAAAGCGCGAATTGCGTAGATGAATTCAGTTTACTAGTGATTCTTGCAGGAATTTCAGAGAAAAAGGACTCCATAGCATTTGCGACCGCTGCATCTTTTTTTATAATTTTGCCATTAATATTAATTTCAAAAGAGCTATCTTTAAATGAAGTTTTACCAGTTTCTTGATTAATAATGTTCCAAGTGGTCTTAATTTTATTGTCCGATTTTTTTATTTTATTACTCAAATAATTTGCATTTGCTATATTACAAACTTTTTTAAATATTTTTGAATAATTTCTGACATAGTTTATAAGCGACTGCTCAGTAGAAATAGACTTTTCATAATATAGATCATACAATTTTCTTCTACTAACGTAAATACCTGGTGTGGCCCAGTCACAGAATTTCATTTTAGAGTTTAAAGAAACAGTTTTTTGTTTAAATATGCTAGCAAATTCTATGTTTATTTGTTGACATAAATATTCGTATTGCTCATTAGCATCATTTGAATTTTTAAGAAACCTAAGTTTATTCTTAATATTATTTTCAAAAACCTTTAAGCGTTTGTCCGTTATTGGCCTAAAAGTAATTTTTATGTCTTGTTTAACCCTATGGCGCTCAACAATGATTTTTTGTCCACTATGATCTGAATCCACCCAGTTAACAATACATTTTTGATATAAAACGCAATCAGAGAAAATGTTATCCAGGTAGCTGATAGGGGGGTAATCCTAGTTGGTTCAAAGAAAGAATATTGTAGATTGAACGACCCAAATAAATTAGTAAATCTACTTGTATATGTACTAGAAACTAAAATATTTAAATTAAAATCCCCACAGACAACCATCTTTTTGTTATTTTTACTTATAATATTAAGAACATTTTCCATGGAAGACTCAAACAGATCATAGCTTCCAGAAGGGGGTCTGTATACACACACAATTATAAATTGTTCAAATTCCACACAAGAAATTTCTATCGTTCGTTCAATGGAATGTTTTACTATGTCTAATCTTTCTTTATATTTGATATTGTTTTGTAACATTATTAATGACCCACCTCTAATTGCACATTCCCTAGTAAATGCACTAACAATTTTATAATTTTCAATACAATCTAATAATTCATTTTTTTTAACCAATGCTCTGTGAGACATAATACATGGATATTCTGACTGTTTAAAAACAAAGAGATTTCTAGATTCTTTCCAGAAAAACCTTGTATATTCTGGTGTACTATTTTAAGGTTGCTAGAGGCCTTCTCTGTTGTCTTATTATTTAATTTAAATATTTAATTTGGGTCACACATTTATGTGCATCATAGTTAGATTGCTCAATAGGGGCAACTATTTCATGACTAATTTGGTCCAAGGGAGCACTGTCGGAACTCTGCTGCTGTATAAAGGCATTGTCTAACCTAATAATAGAAGACTGCTCAAATAAAGCAGATTTAGCAGCCAAGTTCTTGGCTGAAGTTAGTAAATAAAAGCTTAGCGTTACTGCTAATTGTTTTTTACCAAATTTAGATAGAAACAATCTATCCTTTCTCAAAAACAAGCTGCTATCAACAAATGACAATTTATTTATGTCAATTATATTTATTTTGTTTGAATAATACGATAAACTATCCAATGTCACATTTAATTTGTATCTTAAATTATTTTCCTTCAGCGTCAAACTCTTACTATAGGGAAATGTAAACATTACAATGTTTTTTACTTCAACACTTTGAAGATGGTCAAATAGTTTTGTTATTGATTTCTTATTTGCATTCTCCCTATTTCCTATAATTATTATTAAATTGTCATTTTCTCTAAACTTAAATTTTAATATTTTTTCAGACATTTCATTGAAAGAAATGCCAGGCATACAATAATTGCTTACACTTTGCCCCATCTGGTTCATCGAAATGTATCCCAAATCTTTTCCCACTTCATCGCTAAACATAACATAATTACTGTTTTTTTTAAAGAAACATTTTCTTTTTGTTAACATCATTATTGAAGCTAAGCTGTTCAGAGATTGACGGCTCACACACTGACATAGACCATTCAAGTTGTTCCAAGGCAACCAGGCCTGGTGCCAGGGAATCCACCAGGTTAGTATTATTCAGGTGGTGATTGAGGTTCAGTGTGTATTCCCTCATGCTCCTCTTAGAAGACAATGCATTATATTTATGTGTAATGTTTGCCAGAGACTTTTGTAAGCACTTTATTTTATCATTTAATAATAATATATTACATTCATACATTTCTTGATTTTCCTTAATTTGTTTGGAATATGATTCTAACTTGTCAATTAATGCTATATGCTGTTCTTTATTTTTAAGCCATTTAAATAGCTTTTTTGTATCTTAATTAAACATTTTGTCTTTTTGATAAATTTATTGTGTTTAAAGTATTTCCTAAAAATTTTTTTCCTGCTGCATTCAATACTCCTACCAGCTTCTATCTTGCTTGTGTCACTTAATGAGTAATTTAATGAGACAGCAGGATTTATATTGTATACTGCAGACACCATATCCGGAGCACCACTGACTAATTCCTCAAAAAGACTGTGGTTTTGAGAGGTAGTCCAATTTAACTTATCTGTTTCCAACTGACTTATGCAATTGTTTGCTTCTTGTAGTTGTTTTTCCAATTCAGCAATGTGCGTGAGGGTCTGCTCATACTCACTATTGCATTGGTCAAACCTGTCTATTACATACTGCAATTTATTCCTCTCATCGATAATATTTAAATTTTGAGTATGCAAATCAGCCATTTCTTTCTTTAACTTTATGTTGTTTTCAAGGGCATCCAACATTTCTTTTTCACTGTCATCCCGTTCTTTAAGCAATTGCTCAACCAACTCCTTGGAGACCTTCAATTCCTGCAGAACCCGTTGGTATTCCTCCTGGTGAGCTAAGGCCTTACGGGTCAACATTTTGTTACGGTACACACGGTATACAACAAAAGTATCGGTAATAAACCCGCTACCTTGATGCGTTAATGACGAAAATCCACACACAAACCACTTAATATTTATTAAAATTAACCGTGTGAAAGATGCGGGTAGATCAAAATAGGCACAAAGTGTTCACTTTAATGTTCGACTTAGATCTTTCGTTTAGACGCATAACAATAGGTTATTTCAACAAATCAATAACGTATTCCTAGTGTACAATCACTAATTACAAAATTATGAACAAATACACACGCAATTCTATTATAAAAGTCTATAGTTGACCGACGCGAACTACTCGCGTGCGCGCGTTGTGTGTAAGTACCATCTGTAGCAAAAGGTGAAGTCTTCATTTCCACACGACTTTCACGTCTTTGTAATAAGGGCAAAGGTTAATTGCGCTAATAGATAAAAAGCTTTTGGGGTACACCAGAATTCAAACATCATCGCGATTCAAAAGTACCAAGCGTACACTGCTTTAAAAATTTAAGACAAAAAATCTCCTAACAAAAAAAAACAGAGGACCAAGCATACCCAGAAAAAGTACTAACTCTAGTATAAGGTGGTTCTCGATCCATATACTATATATATAAAAATAAAGTTATATATATATATATATATATATATATAACTATATTTAAGTTAGAATTGTAATAACTGTTAAAAAAATTTATTTATTTCTTAACTATTTTTTTAATTTTAAATTTAATTTTATTTATTATTATTGTGGTTTCTGGCAGAATGACCAGCCCTGTGGAACAGTCTGCTCCTCAGCTTAATGCTGAGCCAGGGCCAATTACAACCACAGCACACAATGTGTGTAATGCACACGATTAAAACGTACCGTGAATTATTTTTATATTTTTTGATAATTGTTATTTTGTGTGTTCCTGTGTGTGTGCTTGTTAGTAATAAATGGTATACATATGTCTATGTTAATGTCTTGTGTTATATGTTTGTATTTCAAGAAATTAAACAAAGCTTAATTATTGTAATGTCTTAACACAAAAGCGTTTTATGACATTGATTATTACTACAAGATATATTATTATATACGTATTGCGATGAATAAATTACCTATATCTCGCTCTACTGCCATTTCTTTAATATCGTTAATAATTTCTGTAGCTTTCTCCTTTTGTAGGAGCCGAGTCCTTTTGTGTACGTCCTTAAATTCGTCAATGAGATTGTTATACACATCTAAAAGATCCTGAATAGTGTTGTTCCGAGCGACATCCGGGGGTATTTCGGGTATTTTTAAATACCTGTAAATATGTATACGAAACGTCGAATTATGCAAACAAATAAATTGTTGTTATCTCCAAATTATTATTTATTAAGACTGAGCTAAATTATTCAGTGTCACAAGTTTGGGATTTCTGTGTAAATTGTAGAATATGTCCTATCATTATTCTTCTAAAACCTTTCAGCACTATATGGTTTTACCGCCTCTATGATTGGGTGTGGTAAATTTACTTTCATTAACAATAATTTTCTATCGGTTTCTTCCTAAAACCTATGACTTCAGTTTCTTAAGCGAACAATTCAATTTTTTATATTAAAAATTATTTATTACATAGTTCGCATAAGAGTTTGAGAAAGGCACCTTAGCCTAAGGGCGTGGCACAATAAAGGTTGGTAAACACTGCTCTACATAATAGACAACTAGATAAGTAGCAATCTGGCTCAAATATACTGAGTCTCCCCCATCACGGAGACCCAAGACCTCACAACGATATAACAAAATTAACCATCTCAGAAATTTCACATGAAAAGTAATTCAAAGCTAATTAAGACAATGCGGCAATTCTCCCGCATTAATAAAATATTAACAAAGGAAAAACTCCAAGGAACAGTAACAAAGTTTCCACACGTTTCATGTGTTATTACAACTCTGTAATTGGTATAAATGACGGGCGAAAATAAGCCAAGAATAATTACGTAAGAGAATACGCTGATGCGAACGCGCCTCATGAGTTTTCATGTATTGTGAGCGTCGATCTTTGTTATGGAAATAAGAGAACAACAAGCAGCCATTTATAATTATATTCTGAAACTGCGACATGTTTTTTAAGATTATAATTAATGCGTAAGATAGAAACAACACCGCCGCTTGCATGAATTATTCAGTTCAATTCTCTATGGAATAATAGTTTAGGAATAGAGGCAGACAATTTAGAATGTGGATAGACTAGATTAAGGAAACAGCAGGTGGCACATGGCAGAGAGTGGTACAGTGCAGACAGAAATAGCGGGATTTTGAGGCCTTTGTCAAAAAACGGCACACAGATGCTTAGAAATTAGTGAGATTATAGAAATATAAATGCATTTAAATAAAAGGATTTTATTATTATTGTTTAGTAACAATAATTATTATTCAAGCGGTAGTGGGTCATGAGACGTTTGTCAAGAACATGGCGCAGGCTTTTGTATTTGTAAAACTCATAGCAATTTTTATAAAAGGTTTGTTACCTAGCGAGATATGCCGTGTTTTTAACTTGCTCCGGATTCGACAGAAGCCAATAAAGAACATGATGTACAGTCCTGGCGTCACCGGCAAGAAGTTGAGTTCTAAAGGTGGCAGGATCTACTCCCGATGGAGGTCGTAATTTTACGTTTCCTAACATTTCGAGCAAACGTATAGACACATTTTCAGTTTCATCTTCGCATATATCCAACTAAAGTATAAAAGAACATCAGACTTAATTTTTTTTTTAATACAGGGGGCAAGATGCGTATCTGATGTTAAGTGAGTCCGCCGCCCATGGGCACTCATAATGCCAGAGGGCTCGCGAGTGCGTGCCGGCCTTTTAAGAATTGGTACGCTCATTTTTTGCAGTACCATTAATAAAATTGGTTCGAAAATACATTAGTGTGTATCTTATATGTGTACATATATCCCATTAAATACAGTTTATACGGGTGCATTTTATAACTGTAATCAAACTAATACGGAAACTAAAACATTGTTCAATTTGACGGAAAGATACCAATTACTCGGTTAAGTGTGACTGATTATGAATAAGGATCACTTGTTTTGTATTAGTGATTATTGATTGCTAAATTTATTTTACGTATTATACGAAAAATAATTCATTATTATAAACAATAACACACGAACAATAGTTATTACTGTAAAAGTCAAGATATTATAATCTCAATATAAATACCTTTTCACCAGCTTTGAAAAATACCAGTAAATCTACCAGGAGCTGTAGCAATTGCTTCTCATCAAGAGCGTCGAATTTTATTAAATCGTAGTTCCGTCCCAGGGTTTGATTAATTTCTTTAACAATAAACTTCATTTGATCCGTCATTTTTAGTTCTTAATTAACGACGACACAATAAATTAATAACTCTTTAAGATCTCACATTCATTTATAAAAGAACTTGTATTTGTATTCGTTGCCTTGGCAACCAACTAGGCCCCATATGGTAGAAAACACTACACACTATAGTCTGTGCGGAAAGGGCACCCTGATGGGAACAAATATAATTATTGACATATTTATGTCTTAGGCCGTTTCTCCACTGCTCCGGTCCGGCAAACGTTAATTACCGATCCGATTTAGAAACTAACAACAGTAGGTACTTACGTGCTTCTCCACTACTCCGGCATCCGGTTTTTAACGATCCGATAACTTGCTAGTTCGGAACGCGGTGTTTTATCGGTCCAAGTATATCCAAGAGGTTATAAATTATTATTCATAGGTTTATTTATAGTTTCTTTAATTTGAAAGAATCTGGATAACCTGGACCAAACCAAACTATGTTGCTATTTATTTATATTTTTATACCATAGTATTAGTGAACTATTTATTAAGTAGATTATAATATTTCAAGATAGACAATATAAAAAAAGTAATTAACTAGCCAGGGCAATAAAATATTCAGAATTTAGAACGTTTTATTAATAAAATTAAGTATATGGGTTTTAGTTAATATAAGTGTTGCACGATAAATACACAAGTATCGATTATTGTCGGATCGGAAATAGTGGAGAAGCGCAATCCGGCCGTCCGATATTTTTCTCATGACTCATTCCGGTATCCGACGTCGGACCGGAGCAGTGGAGATAGGGCCTTATAGGACTTGTGTTTGTTTAGTTGCAACACTAAAACTACTTTTTATTTAAAAAAAAGGATGCGTGTACTTATGTACGCGCGTAAGAAGTTATACTTCTTTGGCATTATTAAAAATAGTTTTTGATTGCATGCAAATAATTAATTATAATTAAATAATCAGACTGGAAATGGAGTCATTATAGTCAATAAAGTTCGGTTTACATTTGAAAAACTAAATAAATAAATATTTATTATTATTCTCTTACATTGAGTGTAACATAAATTCTATTATTATTCGAATGTTGTTTTTAAATTATGTCCAATGCCGTAGCATCTTCCGTGGGCAACTTCATTCTGTTAATTTTGTGTCACGGTGCGCGCGCATCGTAAAATTTCACTCTCATCAATTTTTCATAACGCGCATAAATAAATAAGTATAACTTCAAAAATGTTTTGAACATGCACCATTATTAGTACATAGTTACCCCCAACACAGGGACTAGTGTGGGTACTAGATAAGTATAGAAGAATTTTGTCACACCCATATTTCTGTCATGAATAAAGTTTTTATTATTTATGTATTATAATTAGCTACCCGTAATTTTATTTCTTCAAGAAAATACTTCTTTTTTATATTGAAGTGAGCTCTCCAAGGTTAGTTTTTCAGCCTACAAAAAATTGATTTCGGGAATCGCTAGTAAATTTACATATAAAAAAAACAATTTATAAAAGCGCTATCTAGCGACAAGTAAAACAAAACTTATGTTGGAATAATTTATATTTCTATTATAATACAATCATAGATATTATTGTAATCGTCAAATCTCAACAAGTTACACTTACTGTACACTTTGTGCCTTACACTTTAGATCGAAATATAACTGCCAATGAACAATTCGTCTCACAGCCTTACACAAATTCCACTAAATGCTCTGAATAAAGATGAAAAAACGAAATACTAACCTATTAAGTCTTCTACGAGGATAAAAAAATTATTCTAAACGTCTGATTAACGACGCATTATCACTGGCTACTCCTACTTAGCACCAATGAGGAGAAGATTACTTTTCAATGTCACGACACTAATAAGGACTGAGCATGAACCGACAAATGTCTTTTGTCGCATTCCGAACTCATTATGTAAGAAAGAGACAAACAGCTCAATCCTTACTCTATGAACACGGGAAATTATGAATATTGGCGTCTCTTTCATTAGCTTAGGTATTGAGCAAGACGGCAAAAGAAGTAAAATTTAGATTTAAATATGTCAGTGATAATGATATAAGTACTTCAAGTCCTCATTATTAAATAAATAATAAAGCTAATTAAATACTAGAGACGATTGTGTTAACATGTCATTTCGTGATGCGTTTCGATTAATTCACTTCTACTTAACCTATGGCATGCACCATACTTACAATTAGACCCTGAGTTGACAAACAAACACGCCAAACGAAACTATTTTTGGAAACAATGTCAAAAAACTCGCGGCAATTGAGCTGCCACTGAATTCAATACAGAAATCTTTTATTTTTATATAACGGAAAGAATTATGAATTTAAAAAAAAACTTTATTTCGTAAAATGTCAACTGTCAAGAGTTTTTTGACAAACGACATTACCGATTCATAGATAATAACATAATTTGTACTCTGCTACACAAATTATTTACATTGCCAGTAATACTTTAGTGTATTGAAACCTAAAAAATACTAAAAATAAAACAACCTTCAAAATTAAATTAACTGATTTCCTATACTGTCAACACATATCCAATGACTGTTGAATAAGTACAGATTAGATTATAATTAAAAATATAAATATTTATGATTAATAATATGATATTATTAATAAAAATTATTATATTTAAGCATTAAAAGGAAATGTGTGGACAGTTTTGCTTTTTAATCAATTTGCCAATAATTTATCACAAATTTTCCCTCAAATCACGTTTGATGTAAATTATCGAGAGGAATGTTGCAAGAGAAAATTTGGAAATTGACTGAAAAAATGACTGAAAGATGTCATAAATGCAAAAAACCAAAAGTCAAAAATACAATAAAATCACATAGTAAATCAAAAAGATAAAAAAAAACAATTACAATCGACATTCATAGATCTAATAATTAGGTACCTGATATAAAACAACTAAGCTAAACCTACACCTAAATCACAAGAATAACAAAAGAAAAGCGGAGTTGGGACTCATACAATCAACAATAATCATTAAATAGGTTAGTTGACATTTAATCAAGCAAATATAGATTCGAAATTCGAAAATATATGACCACAGACTATATCCAATTTCGTGTTGATTATTCTTATTATTCTTTTTTTTATGATTACATTTTCAGCCTGTTTCAAAAGTGTCAGCTAGCCTATTTGGATTTTAGCCTAATCTCCGCTAAAGGCTGATAATTGTGTGCGGCACTACGGCTCTATTCAATCATCACTTATGAAGCGGCCGAGCGTTACATTTTCTGATACCAGATGGCAGCACCATAGAAGTTACTGTAATCTGTATCTTACTGCGCTGTTATCTTTTTATTATAAATGTAACGTGAATACTTTTTGTGAAACTGCCATCTTGAATATTATAAAGCTCCGTAATAACGTGACACTCTCATAGTAGGCCACCCTTCCTACCGAAGAGGAAGGTGCTTAGCGTGCCTAATGGGGAAGAACTAAGTGGAGTGCTGTTTGTTGTACTAGGGCCGACTCCGACCGTGCCTAGGTCCCCTCGCGGTCTAGGCGCCCGTTGGCCTCTCGCCCGTCTGCCTATTGTCCCCGTGTCTAAAGCTCCCTGCCCCGGTTGTGCCGGAACACCAAAAGGGGCGTCCACACGCTCGACAGGCGGGGCGGCGGGTGATCTAAGCGTGCGCTTCAAACACGTGAGCTGCTCCATCGGACTCCTATGAACCAGGCCTGTGTAAAGCGAGCCCGCCGTTTGAAGGGCGAGGGGAGCGGGAGACCCATCCGAGGAGGGAGACGTAAGATATCTGCGGCGGAGGATGGAAGTCCCGCTCGCGATCAACGCGTGTAACGATGGGGGGACATCGTTGGGACGCGGAGTTGGAGGCGGCGAGTCGTCTGGCGATCCCAGGAGGGGGCTGTTTGCGGGCGTCGCGGTTGGGGAGAAGTGGGGCCGCGAGGGGGGAGCAGAGGGGGTGCAGAAGGAGTCCCGCCGCGATAATACGGGCGATACGGCCGCGGATGTTCGACGCGATGTAAGCCGCGAACTCCAAGCACTCCCCAAAACGCTACTCGCGAGACTACTCATTCCACTGCTGCATACACTACTCACACTGCTGCCCGCGAGACTACCGTCGTTCGGGTGTAATACGGTGCTGGAATAAATATGATTATTAAGGATAAAGTTGGAAATTAAAACATTTATTAAACATTTAGGAACAAATGGTCTAACGACAGAGCTTATTTAAAGTAAGTAACAACTGGTACTAAGAAAATTAATAATTTAAAAAAAATCTGGGTAATTGTTTTTAAATGTTGTGGAATAATGAAATGTGTGCACCCTAAATCTACAATTACAATGTTCAAACAAGAATAATATTTAAACAATCTTACCTATTCGTAAACGTGTAAATGTGACTGGAGTGAGGGAGCCGCAACATATCGTCATCTTCCTCCACATCTGAAAGTCTGTACATCCGCAAACCGAGAGCTTGAGCTGATCTCGATCCTCGTACGCCTACACCTTCCTGATCTTCTAGTAAGCCTATAAAATTTTAATGTTAGAATATAAATATGATAAAAGTTAAAACAAAATCATGTCTGACACTCGCCGCTGACTATTTTAGCTAAAGCATGCCGGTTTCTTCACGTTTTGTTTCGCCGTACAAGCGGTGTTAAATCCGGACATGGAAAGTCCACTGGTGCAGAGCTGGGAATCGAACCTACGACCTGTGATGAATCTTAGCATTTCGGTACTTATAACGTATATATATCCTACCGGACATGTTAGGCTTAGCCAGCTGTGCCCAGGTGTGTAGAGTGAGGGAGCCCTCCATCGGTTTGACGATCTGCAGTTTGTGAGGAGTTCGGAACCTCGCCCCTCCTCCTACTCCCGCCCCCCACACTGCGCTCTCTTCGCTCCACTCGCGATCTGTAAATTTTATTATCTCAACAATAACTCTGATAAAACACTTTAAAATACTCAGACATACACATAGGGCACCATGACTATCGTAATGGTAATCGGACTATCTTTTTTTTTTTTTATTTTATATATATATATATATCTTAATAGTCACTAGCCACTTATGTAAATCCAAGTCACCAAAAAGCATTTTTCGTTTGGAAGACAAAGCAGGCATAATAGAATTATCCCCGACATACAATTTTGAATGTAATCTAACCTATGTACTGAAAACACAACACATCAAAGACAAAGACCAAAATCTGACATGCACTTCATATATATATATCTCTTTACGGCAAAGTAATATACTCAAGAAACATTAATGATAAATACAAATATCATAACAAAGTCAATATTTAGATAACTTTATTCATATAGGAATACACTTATGAACGTCAGAAAAGAAGTTAAATTAATTCTAAATTTACATTTACTACCAGTTCGGCAGTTCGGCGGGCAAGAAGAACTGGCAAGAAACTCTCTGGCACTCTTTTTAATCGCTAAGTTTTGAGTTATACAAATTGTTTGGAGCAAATCAATTCCAAGGATTAGGATCATTTAAATATTCGTCAAATTTATAAAAAGCTTTATTGATTTACGTTTAACGAGAGCTTTAAATGTATTTAGTGATAATTCTCTATATTTCGCTTGGAATTTTGTTGTAAAAACACATATAATTTCCATATGGAGTGGTTTATCTTCTGGAGCCTGGTTGGTCGTACGCTTAAAATAGTTCTGTTCGTATCATTAATAGTACAAAACAATCTTATTTAAAATTAAAACCTAATTAGGAAGCAGTACCTGTACGTTTATTCCTAAGAACGTGTGAGGCAGCCAACGAAGCACGCCGCGAATCGATCTCTTGTGGCGTGAGCCGTCTTAAAGCCGCAGCCAATTCTGCAGCCCCTGGCGCTCCAGGAACTCCAACGCCCGAGCCACCGCTAACACATAATATTTAATAAATCAAGTACCGTATGTTTCACGACGATTAACGTATACGCACGTGTACATTCACGTACGTTCGTAAACCTTATAAATGTTTTGTTCTGGTTATGTGGTTATGAGTAATTAAGTACTACAATGGACTTTCCACGAACCGCCATTAGCAAAAAAAACATAGATTACTTGCTTAGGTAAATATTAATTATCGTAATTATTTTATATTAGCAATTAAAGATTTGTTGTTTTTTTTTGGTACACATTATAAATGGTATAGAATTAAGATATTTATTTATTGTATGCATAGTCTAAAAATAAGGAGTTTATAACAGTGTGGTGGAAACACAAACTGGACACAGTTCATCAGAATTAAACAGTTAAAAGGAAATTTTTCCCGACAAAGCCGTAATGCAATAATGGCTGAACTGAGTTTTGATAAGTTTAGGATTGGAGAATAGTTCAGATTATTACCAATTTGTTGTTTTTTGGTTTGGTTTTTTAAGTTTGAAAATTTGTATTTAAGATTTGTGTACATGACAACGTATGTCGGGTCCGCTAGTTGTAAATTAATGAAAAAAGGTGTAGAAAATTTCAGCTTTGGTATAAAAATGTGTGGGGCTACAACCTTTTTAGGTCTGGGCCTCAGATTTCTCTATCTGTCTAATGATCAGCCTTCTGTGCCTGACAACTTTTTTTGGCAAGCCGGTTTCCTTACAATGTTTTCCTTCACCGTTCGAGCGAATGTTAAATGGTACGCATAGGCAGAACATTTATTGATCCGGGGATCGAACCTGCGACATCAGGGGTGAGAGCCGCATGCTGAAGCCACTAGACCAACACTGCTCTATATTATATTAATTATAAAATTTTTGGTGTTGGTATTATTGTGTAATTCTATCGTATTAGTTCAAATTCAATTCAAAATTCAAAAGCCTTTTATTGCCAACCTTAAATAACATTACTTTAGCTGTGTTAGTATTTAGTTTTCTTAATTTATTGTTAGTATTATATTTAATAGTATATTAAATAACTAATTGTTTATTTAGTTGGGTACCCGGTTATGGGTAAAGGCCTCCTCCATATTTTGCCATCTGTGTCGGTTCTGAGCGTCCCTTGTCCAGGTGTTGCCGGCCATGTCATGTATCTCATCTCTCCATCTCATAACGGGATGACCTTTGTTCCTTCGGCCGTCTCTGGGATACCAATGAAGTACGCGTTCACTCCATCTTCCGTCATTTACTCTTGTTATGTGTCCTGCCCATTTCCATTTGAGTTTGCAGTACATTTCGGCAGCATCTATTAAGTTGGTTTGTTTCCGGATCTATATATTTTTTACTCTATCACTTAGTCTTACACCCAGCATCGATCTCTCTGTTGCTCTTTGGAATACTGACAGTTTTTTTATTTGTTTTTTTGTTAGAGACCATGTCTGGCAGCCGTATAATAGGCATGGTAGAATCGTGCTGTCATACAGTTTTTTCTTTAAGTGAATTGGTATTTTTTTGTTTTTGAATATATCTTTGTTTGCCCAGAATTTTTTCCATGAGATGGCGATTCGTCGACTTAGCTCTTTTTCTGTGAGATCGTCCAGGGAAATGAGTTGGCCTAAATAAATGTATTCATTTACATACTCTATTACACATGACTCTATTGTTGTAATTATGCGGTCGTCATTGGTCATAATTTTGGTTTTTGTCATGTTCATTTGTAAGCCTATATTTTTACTTACAGTGTTTAGTGTTGAAAGCATGATTTGTAGGTTTTCATGAGTATTTGACAGTATTACTATGTCATCGGCAAAGCGTAGATGTGACAGGAATTCTCCATTTATGTTAAGTCCACAATTTGCCCAATGTAGTTTCCTGAACATTGATTCTAATAGAGCTGTAAAAAGTTTTGGTGAGATAGGGTCGCCTTGTTTGACTCCACGTTTAATTCGAAATAGTGGCCCATAACTCTCTAGTTTTATTTTGGCGTTATAGTCGTCATATATAAGTTTTAATATTCTAATAATTTTATTATTTATTCCTTGTTCTTTTAATGCTTTCCATAAATGTGTTTGTAAAATCGAATCAAACGCTTTAGTATAATCAACGAATGCCAAGTAGATAGGTTTGTTATATTCTCTGCACTTTTCAATGCACTGTGTCAATGTAAAGATATGGTCAACAGTTGAAAATCCTTTCCTAAATCCGGCTTGCTCTCGTGGTTGCTGTTCGTCTAAGCTTTTACTGATTCGGAAGAGTAAGAGTGATGAGAAAAGTTTGTATAAAGTTGGTAGTAAGCTGATTGGGCGGTAATTATCTATTAGTTTGGAGTCTCCTTTCTTGTATATGAGTGTTATTATTGAATGTGTCCAATGATCGGGTATTTTTTTCTCTTTCAAGTATTTTATTAAAAATATTAGTCAGGTGTGGTGCCAATTGTTCTGCCGTTGCTATTAACATGTCTGTGGTGATGCCATCTTCGCCGGGTGATTTATTTTTCTTCATTCTTGAGATAGCGCTTTCGACTTCGTCTAGTAAAAAGCAAGGGACCTGTTCTTGATCGTGTATCTGGTTTATATTTAAGTCGACTGGGTTCGTTTGTTGGTTTTCCGAATATAATTTTTTATAAAAGTCAGTAGCTGATAGAAGGATGCTTTGTCGATTTGTTATAGTTTCTCCTGATTTTGTTTTTATTGAGTGCATCCATTCTTTTTGTGGCTTTTCTGGCTGTTTTTAGTAGAGCCTCTTGTTTCCAATTCACTTTCAATCAATTTCATTTTTATTTTATTTTTCCTTTCAATTATTTTTTTCTTTATTTTTCTATAAAGTTTCTTTAGCCTTTTTTTCTCTATGTCTGAGCGTGGCCATGTGTTCTTAAGTTTTTCTCTTTCATTTATTAATTTTAGGATATTATTGTTTATAGTGTTGCTTTCTTGGTCTTTTTTTATCGCATTTGTTGGTAAGTACGAAGTGCTTTTTTGTATTGCAGACACTATAGTTTTATAGTGGTTATTTATATTTTCAGTTGTAGGATTTCCAGCTAGTTCTCTTGTTACTATCATTCCCATCACATTTGATTCTATAGGTAGAAACGTTTTATTCTTAGTTCGAAGAAATTTACGTTTTTTCTTTGTTTGTTGTAATTTGTAGGATATTCTCAGCATTCTGTGATCAGACGGGAATTTTGGAGAGAGAATTTCAAAATTTGTTATGAATCTTTTATCTTTAATCAATATGAAATCTATCTCGTTTTTAGTTTTGCCATTGGGTGATAGCCATGTCCATTTCCGTTTTTGAGGTTTCTTAAATATGGTATTAGATATAACGAACTTGTTTGTATAACAGAATTGTAGTAGTCTTTCCCCTCTTTCATTTCTTTCTCCATATCCATATTGCCCACAGATCTTGTGTTCTTCAGGTAGAGGAAGCCCAATTTTTGAATTGAAGTCCCCTAGTATAATGACGTGTTTCCCAGTGTTTGAGAGAGCTTGAGTGACTTGGTTGTAAAATCGTTCCACCGCTTCTTCTTTAGCTCTTTCGATAGGTGCGTAAGCTTGTATTATGTTTAACACAGTTGTGTCACACTGAATGTCTAATCTTACGACTCTGTCTGAGTAAGTTGTGAAATCTATAATGTTCTTTTTTAAGTTACTATTGACGATAAATCCTACTCCATTTGACCCACTTTTGTCTCCTCTATACATTAAGATATAGTTTCTATATTGTTCTATTTTTATGCCTTCAATTTTTACTTCCGATAATCCAATAATATCATATTTTATTTTATCTAGCACTTGATCTAATTCTGGTAATCTATTTTCTGCGAGCAGCGATCTAACGTTGTACGTACAGATGTAAATAATATTGTTTTTTAATTGAGTTTTATCCTCATAGCCTTGTGGAGGGTTGTGGTCATACTCTTCCGCGGTGACCAACCGTCTTGGAAAGGTTTTTGTGTTAAGTGTTCCAATTTTGAATGTTTCACATCTTTTAGCTGGAGGGTTTTGGTCTAGTGCTCCCGCGGGGACCAGCCGTGTTGGGAGACGTGGAAATGAATTTTGTGGGAAGTTGGTTGTCTTTGATTGTTTGTTTTGGTTTTGGTTATGAGTATCAGCGCGGGTTGTTAGTTTTTTGAGGGTTCTGATATTGACGCTGATCGTCCGCGTTCAACATAGTTAAGTATGCCAGGTTTCCGGATTTATTAGTAGTAACGGTTAATCATTATGTGGAAATAATTTAAAAAAAAAATTTACATGAATATGACTTACGGGTATAAATCTTCGGATTCAACATCGGATATATCTTCAAAGAAGCTATCAGTTGATATAGTTTTGGCCTTTGGTTTCGGTTTGGGCACACCCTCGCTCTCAGATCCGGATAAGGAAGCACCAGACCAGCGTGACGCGCATTGGACTGTCTCGAACACTTTTTGCATGCTTGAACTGTAAAATTATTAAACGCGAATTTATTGCATTGTTTACATAGCTTGACTGAATGACCAACCACAGACAATATTAAATATTTGTGGTGGTACATTAAATCAAACAAATAATATTTTAATATATAAAGTTCTTTTAAGTCAATGACTCAAGTCAATTTGCATCTATTATTATTATAAATTATTAAATATTATTAAAAACCCGTTTAAAAATTGAGTAAAAGCCTTATTTAGATAAATGTTTTTAGATTTTTAGTTTTAAAGCTAAACTCTGGTATCTAGCAGTAAGATTCAAAGCCACGACACGCTCTAAGTAAGACTCCGGAATGTCAAAACCAGGCACGTTATCGACATACGAAAGTCATACTTAGGGCTGAGTCTCAACTTATCCTACCCCATATGGCTTTATCTTTTATAATCTTACTTTGCAAGCGGATCCCCAATGCCCGAGTCCAAGCTGAACTCCGAGTAGACCGAGGAATGCATCTCCCGATGAAGACTCGCTGGGAGTAGACCCGCAGCCGCTGCTACACTCGGCATGAGACCACGGACCGGTTCGCCTCGTTTGCGAACTTGCCGTAATGCTTCTTGCGCTTCCGCCAAATGTGCTGCCACTTCCGAATATCGTTCCTGTTAATATAAAACCATTGTTTTCTAACGCCTTTATACAAAAACTACTTGTTATAGTAACCAACTATAGAAACGTATTAGGTAGGGATTCTTAGAATCATGGGTACTACAGAACATCCAGAACTATAATTACTAAATGCAGTCAAAATCTATTATAACGATATCGAAGGGACTACTCATATTAGGTCGTAAAAACCGATGGTCGTAAAAACCGATAGTCGTAACAGCCGAACGTTTTTATTAGGTACCTAATACAATAGAATTCAGCCGGGAACTTTGATTTTGGTCAATATAACCGGTAGGTTGTTCTAAACGACGTCGTCGTAAACGGTTTTTACTGTATATAGAACGACAGGACGAACATTCGATTTAGAAACCTTTCAAAATTTCAACCTTAAGAAACAATATCACAATATACGAGACTATAGACTGGAGTGCGATGCGTATTTTAATATATTCGGCTTTAAAATTGTTTAAGTAAAATTAAGTTGCTACCTCTTTCGTATATAGTATGAACTTAGTGACGGTTCTTGTTTATTTTTTGACGTTGTTCCGCTAGCAAAAACTTTTGGAAACACCTCTTGTACGAAATATAGTTTGCGTTGTTATAAATCATTATTTTTCATTCTGACTTCCAATCAGTCCTAAAAAATCTCTCCTACTGCACAGTGAAAACATCCCAACAAAAAGTGAGTAAGAAACCAGTTTTATGTATTAATTTGTCTGACGCTACATACGATACGTATTCTTTTAATATACTTCAACTTTTACTAATAATCAGATCAAAAAAAAATTAAATATACTTTGGCAACTGAATGTATGAGTTTCGTATTAAAATTAAATTAAATATTTTCCTATGTTTAGTTTTAACAGATTTAATAAAAATTTAATTGAAAAGTTAAATAATATTTTATATTGCGATCTGTACTATTTAGATTGGATTACTGAGTATGTTAATCTAATCAACTTGGGATTAGGTTACACAATAACATGTTTCATCTAAAATTATAAATTGAATTATTATATCAAATAGAATGAGATTTTAATACGATTATAATTCCATATTTATATAAGACCGGTGTTGGTATATTTACTTAGCGTGCTACCCTCACCAATGGCGTAGCTAGGGGAACCAGAGCCCCGGGGAAAAAAAAAAAAAAAAACCCCCCCCTTAAAAAAATAAATTGTTTTAAAAAAAAAAAAAAAAAAAAAAAAAAAAAAAAAAAAAAAAAAAAACCTAAAACCCCTTTTTTTTTTGGGGGGGGGAAAAAAAAAAAAAAAAAAAAAAAAAAAAAAAAAAAAAAAAAAAATTTTTTTTTTGTTTTTTAAAAAAAAAAAAAAAAAAAAAAAAAAAAAAAATAAAAAAAAAAAAGCCCCCCCCCCCCCCAAAAAAAAAAAAAAAATTTTTTTTTTTTTTTTTTCCTTTTTTTTTTCCCCCAAAAAAAAAAAAACCCCTTCCCCCCTCGTTGTTTGTTTTTTTTTTTTTTTTTTTTTTTCCCCCTTAGACCCGCCACCCCAACCCCACAAAAAAAAAAAAAATTAATTTTTTTTTTTTTTTTTTTCCCCCCCCCCTTTCTTTCTTTTTGGTGTTGGAGAAAAAAAAAAAAAAAAAAAAAAAAAAAAAAACACCCCCCCCCCCCCCCCCAAAAAAACAAAACTCTTTTCTTTCCTTTTCCCCCTACAAAAAAAAAAAAAAAAAAAACCCCCCAAAACCCCCCCCCCCCCCCCCCCCCCCCCCCCCCCCCCCCCCCCCCCCCCCCCCCCCCCCCCCCCCCCCCACCCCCCCCCCCCCACCCCCCCCGCGCCCCAAACCAAAAACGCCCCCCCGCCGGACAAACCCCCGGCGCGCGGCGCGGGGGGGAGGGGGGGGGGAAAAGAAAAAAAGGGGGCGCCGGCCGCCCCCCCCCCCCCCCCCCCCCCGCCCCCCCCCGCGGCCCGCGCCGAAAAAAAATGAAAAATTTTTTTTTACCACAAAACCCCCTTTCCCCCCTCCCCCCCCTTTTAAGGGTCCCCCTTTTTTTTTTGGTTTTTTTCTTTTTTTTTTTCCCTTAAATTTCCCCCCCAAAAAAAAAAAAAAAAAAAAAAAAAAAAAAAAAAAAAAAAAACCCAATTCCCCCCCCCCCCCCCCCCCCCCCCCCCCCCCCCCCCCCCCCCCCCCCCTTTTCTTTCTTCCCCTTTTTTTTTTTTTTCCGTTTTATCTAAAAAAACTTAAAAAAAAAAAAAACCAAAAAAAAAAAATTTTATCCCCTTCTTTTTCCTTCCCTAAAATTTTTTTTCCTTTTTCCCCCCCTTCCCCCCCCCCCTCTTTTAATTTTGTTTGTTCCCCTCATATTTTTTTTTTTTTTGGGTTGTTTTTTAAAAATATAAAAAATTTTTTGTTTTGGGGGGGGGGTTCCGGGGCCCCCCCCCCCGGGGCCCCCCCCGGGCCCCCTGGGCCCCCCCCCTTCCTGGGCCCCCCCCCGCCGGGGGGGGGGACCCTCACGTCTGAGATCGAATTCGAATCACGGCTGTGCACAAAACCTTGCTCCTACGGTGGAGGTTGTTTTCCTGTGAGCAAACCGTGAGCAAACCGGCCTTAGAAGACCCACGTGCATAAGGCACAGAATGCTGATGCTGTAAGTAACTTACCTTACGTACTTACCTATTACGAATGCCACTGTTTTTTAAAAACAAAATGCTTAAAGTATTTTGTAATAAGCACGCAAATATGTTTATTACAAATCATTATATACGTGTAAATTAAAAAATAAAAATAGATCGAAAATTCTAATTAAACATTTCTATGTAACTACTGATTTAACACTAGCAACTATATTTCTTAATTGATAATATAACGCGTGTTTACGAACAATTTTCTAACACTATTGCAACTTTGACTAAATGTCAAATAATATTTTAAATTTTATCAGTGCTCCTTTGTTTATTATATCAATATATACACGATACATAAATACTTAAAATTCTTGTCTCAAAATAATTATTTTATAATTTTAAATAATAAAAAAATAAATCAGTGGCGCTACAACTTTTTTAGGTCTTGGCCTCAGATTTCTTTATAGGATTCATGATCATTTGTTAATCTAATCGGCCAGAAGGTGATCAGCAACCTGTGCCTGACACACGCCGTCGAATTTTTGTGTCTAGGGCAAGCCGGTTTCCTCGCGATATTTCCTTCACCGTTCGAGCGAATGTTAAATGCGCACATAGAAAGAAAGTCCATTTGTGCACAGCCGGGGATCGAACCTACGAACTCAGGGATGAGAGTCGCACGCTGAAGCCACTTGGCCAACACGGCTCGCTATTTTATACTTTAGGCAGACAAAAAATCATCTAATTGTAAATCTATGTCATTCTAGAATCCACTTGAAAACACAAAAAAAAATCATTAAAATCTAACCGTTTAGAAGTTTAATTTCGCACACACAGAAGATGTAGGTATATATATTATTTAATTCATCATTAAGGTAATATATACCATTACATCATAGGGCTTACCTTAACATCGGCCAACTCAGCCGCGAGTGCATTTTGATTTTCTCTTGTTATTTCCAATACTCGCAGCGTGTGATCATGCTCGGCTGTTAACTGGAAACAAATTAACACTACTTTATTCCATTCTATAAAAACATACCACACAAGAAGTCCCAGTATTAAAATTTTTATAACCACAGCCAATTCCACAATTTTCTATGTTTTCGACTGCAAAGGAAAATTTAAAAAATTAAGGCGATTTAACTGCTTAAATCAGTTTATTCATCAACCTCTGGGAATAAGGTTAGGTAACAATTCCACGTATAATCGTAAACAAGTATAGCAACGGAAGTAATGAGACCCAAAAAACTCCTCCCACGCCAGCACATTGTGCCAACACCAACTTCAACTGACATTTAATCTAATCATTTAGGTTACTAAATACTAAAATTACAATAGAAATCTATTATCTACATCATTGTAGAAATTTATCTATTATACCTATACAGTTTCAGAATATATGTACAGAAAAATTAGATTAAACCCAGTATGGAATTAAAGATACGATAATTTTTTTAATGACAATTCAACAACTATATGATATAATAGTACATAAATATATAGGCAGAAAACTTACTTATTTTGTACATTTTCACTTCTTAAACTCAACAGGTAGGTAACTAACAATTCATATAGCGACTCGATCCCGATTTTTTTTTACAAGAAGCAAAGGGGCAGATGGCTCAAGTGATGTTAAGTAAAACCGCCGCCCATGAACACTCACACTGCCAGAAAAGCGTTTTCGGCTTTTTATGGTTTGATACGCTTTTCTTTATAAGTTGAAATGGTTCGGATATCGTTCAGTGGGGAGTGGTGGTACGCGGCAACAAGTGTCAGTTGTGGAACGACGGACTTCGAGGTGATACAGGTGGAATTTCGTATTCTGCTGAGAAGATGCAGAGAGACACGCAACGCAAGTGATTGTTCTTTCTATGTGAATTTCGACAGTTTTTTCGACATCCTTAGCGCTGATGTTGCTTTGGGATCGCAAGGTATAAAAACTCAACATTAAACTCGAGATCAAAATTAACGAACCACGTAAGGATCGAATATGTTCATTAGTTAGTTGGAGACCCATGCTTGAACTATTTCAGATTTTAAACGTAATTTAAATACTAATTTATTGGGTAAAGCTTTCAACGCACTATAACATAAACCCAATTTAAGTTTCATATTTCGTTATTAAATTATGTTGACTAATGGTTACCGGAAATTCAGTATATTTAATGAAATCTATTAACATCGCAACTTCCGACAATTTTACATTATAGTTTCATATTACACATATATGTAGATGTCTACGGCAAAAATCCGCAAAGATTGGCATACTTTAAAAATAGTTTTCTAAAAAAATATATTTTTCTAACCAGAACATTTGTCACAATCTATAAGTTGTATTGCGTTTAAAATAAAACACGAGTGTTAGGTTCAATTAAAAGAAAAATAATTTCATTTACAAATATTTATTAAGAAAAGGTGTTGTCTAAAAAAAATCATTGAAAAATGTAATTACAATAGAAAGGAATATTTATGCGCTTTCTAGATAAATCGGGGACAAATATAACAACGACACAAATTAATTGTCTCGAACACTCCATTAACGATTATATGATCATGGACTTCGATTACAAAAGGTATTATAAAACATTTTTACCTATTAATAACTGAAAATATAGCACTACTTTTGGGGCAGGGGGCAAACGGGCAGGAGGCTCACCTGATGTTAAGTGATACCGCCGCCCATGGACACTCTCAATGCTAGAGGGCTCGCGAGTGCGTTGCTGGCCTTTTAAGAATTGGTACGCTCTTTTCTTGAAGGACCCTAAGTTGAATTGGTTCGGAAATACTTTAGTGGGCAGCAGCTTTAGGTTCAACAAAGTGCGCGAAAAACTGCCTGAAAACCTAGTTGTGGAACGCGACTCGAGGAACGGAATTTCGTATTCTGCCTCAACGTCCGATTTGTTAGATGCAAAGAATGTTTTAATCAAAAAAACTTTAATTAACTGGAGTTTCTTTGTAAAATATGGGCGGACTTTACAGTCAGAAAAGTAATCAGTCATATGAAACATTGTCTACCTCTTAAACCTGATTGAGGCCTGAAGCAAACAAAATTCTGTATTACTGATAATAAATAAATCATTAAAGGGTTAGTAATGCCTGGAAGTGATCGCTTGTTAGCGATAAGGCCGCCCGTTGTATCCCTTAAATTTTTATGAATCACGTTATTTGTTATTCTATAAATGTAATGAAGTGTAAAGAAATATATAAAAACTTCATTCATGACAGTATTATGGTTGTGTAAATAATGTTGCTTTGCAAATGCCTACTGCGTTCTTGAAACAATTGTTTTACCAAATCGATACTAGAAACCACTGATTTCCGCCATGTTCAGGGGGCTTAGTCAAGATGCTGTAACAGTAGTGTATGTAGAAAGTCGAAAACTTAATTTGTATGAAAATTTGTCGACACGAACTGTCATTTTCATACTTATTAACAATTAGTTCTGTATCTTACCTGTTGTAAATTTCGATCAGATACAGCAAGCCTTGCATTGGTCGAGTCTAGCTGTTGCTGAAGTTCGCAGGATCTTTGTCTCTCTTCAGATAACTCGGACCCAAGTTCATTCGTCTCTGAATTAGCACTCGCTGAAAAAATGTGTAATTATCATAAATCTTAAATGTTGACATTAGTGTGGGATACATAAACTTAGTTCTCTCACAAAAACTAACAAAATTTACAAAGTTGTTTATTTAAAAGCCCAATAAAATAATATGTAATACAATTGTCGATTAAAAGTATTTGTTTATACAATTATAGCATGAATAAATTATTAATTTAAAACGTATGTACAATCTTAGTACGTGAAAATCTTGCGTATATTGGTTCTGAATATCTGAAAATTTAAAGAATTATCTTTTCAAACTCTAATTATACATACAAAATATTTATACTTAAAAAAGGCAGTGCAGCCAGCGACGTTACAAGTAATAAATTTAATTCAAAAGGCCTCGCGAATGTATGGAAATTTGTGCAAAAAGCGCGAAATTACCAAGTTGAATTTAAATTATATAATTTCTTTAATTATAAATAACTTATCAATGTAAATTGTTGAGCACCTTCTAAGCAAAATGTTACCCACTTCAGTTTGACAGCAATAAATAACCCAGGGCCACCTATTTTTAAACCCGAGACATCGAAAAGTCGGGTCTGACCTGACCTGACTTATCCAGAAACAATTGCATCTGCCCTCAAACCTATTCCTATTCTCTATGAGAAAAGAATTACTCGTCAAATTGACTCTTTCGGTTTTAAGCGAGTTAAAAATTGTGTAATAGCTAACAAACTAACATTAAAAAACCCGTTTACATTGTTATAAACAGTTTAATCTCACAATGTTTTATTACATTTCAGCTTAAAATAGATTTGACTTTCTAAGACTATTTCACAACGTGCCATATCACGTTTTCATAAGAGCACTACTCGATCGAGGGCTCAGTATAACATAATTTTATTATTATTGATGAACCAATGTCTATAATCAATGACTGCATAAAATAAGGCGTAGTCTATGTAGGATCTTACTTATTAGGCTCAAAATTAATAGATAAGGTTGCGATCCCACACATCGTTTTGTAAGCTGTGTCATAAATTCCAAAAAAAGGGGACTAATTTAAATTATTTAAACGGATACATTACTGTGTGAACTAAAATTAAACAATAGTAAATAAAATAACGAACATAACAATAAATGGAAAGAAACCGAGAGAAGGGTTATCTTGTTTATAGATAATAACGTGGGCATACAGTACATATTAACAATCACAATTAAGATAAAATCTTATATTCATTATTTTAATTATAATTATTATATTATGCCAGTATGAAGCGACTTTGAGACGGTAATAACATGTTATGTCCCTCTACAAAATCAATTACATTAGGTAAAACTCTACATAAATAAAAATTAATCGCAAAATATGTTGCTAAGCTCAAAACTCGCAGACGGCTGGAACAATTCGAGTTTTTTATTTATTTATTCCTTGAACTGAAGAGGAAGGTTTGTGAGAGATGATTTAGAAAAAATTCACGGAAATACTTATAAACGAGATTTTATTCCAGAAAAGCGAACAATTTTTATGGGGAAGCATAGCAAAATGTTCTATATGTTGATACTAAACAGATAGGCTAAGAAAAAAAAATAATATTAAGGCGAAACGGAGTTCGCGAGGGCTATCTGCCCTTGCTTACATTATAAAAATGTAATTGATATTTACCATTTATGAAAGGATCGATGGATCAATATTATTTTCATTTTGTAAACAACATTATTTTTACTTCACGCTCACATCACCATTTACATAATACAGCGAGCAAACATTTATTTAAATACACAAATACCAAGTGACGTCAAGCTGCTATTAGACATATCTTTATAATTTATGCCCTGAAGCAAATTTAGGTCAATTTAGTTTCATATTGAATTATAGAAGCCATTCCTTAGTGGACTAAAGGTGTTACTTTAGAAACATTGTATCATTTCTTAATCTAGATAGAAATACGTATGTGAGATCATGCTCTTGGTAGAACGCACTGTTTGAAAGCCTGGTCGGGGTCTCTTAGTAGACTGCTTACGAGGGTTTTAGTTGATTGGGCTGTTATAGCGTGTGCCAGAGTGAATGTTTCGTTTTCAGAGAGCTGGGGGCGTCCGTTGGAGTTTAGTGGAAGCAGTAGCCGAGTCCCACATAAACTTATCTGCCACGGATTATGTATGTATTTATTTATTGATGAAATTGGATTATATAATAATATACAAAAAGGTTAAAACATTTACGAAAATTAGAATGGAAATAATCTATAAACATTATTAAATATATTTAACTAAGTAATACCTAACACAATTTTAAATAAAATTATTATCTTATGAAGAAATTTATTTGAATATGCCCATAAAGATAATCGCGTAGATAATCGTATAATTTTTATACGTTTTATAAAGTAATTAAGTTTATTTTTGCAAATTTAAAGTTTTTGTTGAAGCTTTGTTGGCGTGATGAGTATTATTTTTAGCAAATTAGTCCAATTATAAGTCTCTGATATTTTGTGTCATCTTTCAATCCGATATTTTCATGTATAAGTAAGTATCACGTACGTAAGTATCACTAATAATAGTTCTTATAACTCTTGACATTTTCGCAAGTACTATATTAATAGTTTGGAAAAAATATCCTATGCAACGTTTGGAGAAGCTTTCTAGAAGCACAACTTAAATTAAATATATAAAAACACGAACGCAAATATCATCTACTTTGAGTTTAAATTTTACAATAACCCATATAATTCAAGACGAAAATGTATAACTCGGACGGGCTCATCCTAAATAAAACCATTCAACCTTTAATAGCCCATTACACTTATTTTCATTTGTGCAAGATTACTTTATTCTATACTCCTGGTTTATCTTCTTTCTGGACGTTTAATTATTCTTCTTGTAGTATCGAGTCCCGTTAGAACAAGTATGGTCTGACAGGGTGCGAATCTTAAAGACAACACGCTGCTAGGCCACCTTGAGCCACCGGGACCATTTTTATTCTTAATCTTCTCCATAAATTGTAGAATTATTTCTCTTTTCTTCACTGGACGTGTTTATTACGGATTGACGATTTATATTTTCCAACACGTTATTGTTGTTTGGTCTGTTAATAAATATGCATCGTATCTGCGTCTTCAATAAAGATTTGAACACTTCCTTTGAAAGGGTTTTTGGAGTTGGAAAAACATGATAAACATTGCCGTGCAGTGATTTTAACCATGCGTCTTCGTATTGAAATATTAAAGACTTATATAATTTTGAAGAATAAGGTTAATAGAATACTAATATATTAATAGAAACTAAACAAGAATTCAAAACAAACGAGCCTAATATATATACGAATTAAAATCCGTTGTTAATTGGAATATTAATTAAACTTGAATACTTATAAACGTTAATTTATAACACAATTAAGTAAATGAACATTTAGGTTTTTTTAAATAAACGACCATAAGTCACCTAGTCAATAAACCAATATGCTTAAATAAATGTTTATTTTACAGGTATAATAAGATATACTGAAAGATAAAACACAAAAAATATTAATCGGAGGCATTAAGCTACAGATTTAAGTTCCAAACTTCCAATCCACGGTCATACTGTGTGGTCCGGGAATTGTTCGACAGAAAAATCCCACAGATCCAGCGGAATATTGCTCTCTATATGGCTCTCACGCTGACCAAGGATTATTAAAAGCGTAACGTCTAAATGTAATAAATGCGCTTATATCCGTAGATAAAAGAAAAAATGATTAATGCGTTAACAATGAAAGTCAATACGTGACAGATAATAATCAATAAGTGTTCTGGAATTCGCTGATAAAATAGCATTTAATCGTAAATGACACAATAGTATAAGAACATGGGAACATTTGCGAAAGCTGTGTTAACATACCAATAATTATGTGCATTGTTATTTCTTCCGTGCAAATGATGCAAGTCTCATCCATAAACTACGTAATCTCATAGTAACGGAAGAGAATTGTTTCGCATATTGATTTGATTTAACGACCAACTTCTTGTTAATCATATTCACCTCTATACCATTTTTCATACCCGTCACATGTTATTATAATATGAATTTTTGGGATTTTTTATTATCAATTAAAAATATTTAACTGAATGCAAAAAGTTACCTCATCATAAGTTTAAAATACTTTAGATACAAATATACGATATAAAGATTTTTTTAAAAACTACATATACGATTATTATAATTTAGTTAACAATTAAGTCTAAATTGCCGATTCAATATAGATAAAGGATATAAAAAAATAATCTTATATTACATTATTTAATATTAAATACTTATTTTAGATACATTGAACCCAATATTTATGCAATAGGAGGCAAACGGGCAGGAAGCTCACCTGATATTACTTTAAACCGCCGCCCATACACAGTCACATTACCAGAAGGCCCGCAAGTGCGTTGCCGGCCTTTCAAGAATTGGTACACATTGCGTAAAAGTTGGGTTTAAAATCATGGCATATATGATAAATTATATCTAAAATTATGTCACACCAATTCTTGGTAATAATTTACCAAGGTGTGGTTTTGCCGCAAGCCCAACCTATGGTAATGTGTATACAGTGTTTTGATTACAGAGAAACTAAAAAACATTTTTTACACGATATGAATAAAGTCACTTTAATCATTAATATGTATGTATGTAAATTATATCGTCATACATGTCACTCCCCTTACCCACAAACGCTTCTCAACAGGCTCACCCAAAAGTCGTCGAGAGGGGTTTGAACTAAAGTCAAATAACCTCGGACCCTAGTTTAAATCTATTGACAAATATAAAATTAAAATAGCCTTTATTCGAGTACACTATAACTACAGTAAGTCCATGTCTTTTAAGTTTTACATTTGACCTCCGATGGAGTGAAGCCTCCTCCAATTCTTCCACTTATCCCTATTTGATGAGACAATTTTCAAGTTTTTCCCCCGCTATCCCTTTTATATCATCTTCCCAAGTTTTCGGTGGGCATCCTCTCTTTCTGCTTCCCATGGCCCAAGTTTTTAATTGACAAATATATAATATGCTATGTTAACCATGATTACCTACTTGATTTTTTTACAAGCAAATTCAATAAATTCGTGAGACATACATATAGAATGTAGATAATATGTATATTTAAGGTAGAGAATGTGGCCAATTGAAAGTAACATTGTGTAAGTGCCCAGCATACGATTTTACCGGTAAGAACATTAGAGACTGGTTCAGGTGAATGTAAATAATAATAAAGAATATGTAACAATGTAATAATAAAGAATAACCAAGCCAACTTTAGGGCGTTCATCAATGAAGAGTGTCAATCCATGTCTTACCTAGCTGCGCTGCGATGTCCCGAAGTAGCTGCCTCTCGGCCAGTTCTGCAGAGTCCGCACCGGCTGCGAGCCGCGATGCTTCGTCTCGTAGGGCTCTGTTCTCTCGCTCCAGGGCGCCGGTACGTCGCCGAAGGAGGGCAGCCGTCGCCGCCTCCTTCTCTTCCGTTGGGGAATCCTCTGTATCATTTGTTAGTATCTAGGAGTAACAAGATACATATTCATTAACCGTTTTAGTATGTGTTTGCGAACTATCATTATTCTTATTTACAAAACTTATATTATACTTTTAGTTTTTGTATATATCAAGATTACTGTCGAACTATAATGACGTAACAGTGTCAATATAACGTAAAAAAATAATTTTGCACTGTAGCGCCCTCAAAACCCACTTTTTTTCTATGAGCGAAACAAACACTACCTCTAACGTCTAACGATAAAGCATGCCTTTGACGAAAAAATAGGCATGTCTCAGGCACAGAAGGATGTTTACCTAATTCTTTAAAAAGAACACGGTATACGATAAATAAGATCCGATCCGATCCCATATAGAGATATGATAGTTGCGTTTTTAAATTAGAGCTAAAACTAGCTCTGAATTGTGTGTCGGTTTTTCATAAATTCACATCAGGGAATAACTATTACGACTCAATCACCAATTAAAACCAAGTAGGTTTTCACTTTACCTTTAAAACAATTAATTGAAAATAATAAACAAGCAAGCCACGTTTGATTACAGCAATCATGTCGCTCTAACCTAGTTTTTCGTGAAGGACGGACGAGGTTTACTTATATATGGAAATAACTGCGCAGTTTTATAACAAGTGACTTAATCTAATCAATGCTTTTTAGTAAAAGAAAGACTTTGTGATGTACTAACTCAACAAACATAAATAAATAAAAATAGCCTTTATTGGAGTACACTATAACAATACTAAGTTCATATCATTTATGTTGTACACTAGTACTCGACCTCCGACGGAGTGAACTCCTCCAAATTCTTCCAACAAACATAACCAATTTAAATAACTTTTTAATTTTGTTTCGCCTTTAGTAAGATTGTTCGCAAAACAATTGGATATATATTTCGCTTTGTGTATGTAAATAAGATGTGCATAAATAAAGGCTTATTATTTTTATTATAGAAAGATACACTACTACAATGCTTTATTTGAAAAGTCACTTAAGAAAACATCCTCAAAATTTTTATTGAGAGGTTAAGGTAATTGCATCACAGAATTGTATATAATCAATTTCGAAGAATAGATTATATTATAGTACTATAAAGATAATCTTTGATCCAGTAAACAATAATTAATTATTAATATAAATGAGAGTGAGTTCCCCTCTATTCAACTTAGGTATGCATCCGAAACCGATATATCGGAGATACTGGGATTGCCGATATATCGGCATCGACAATATTTTAATTGCTTTTCAAATTTCACACTTTATAAAAGTAATTTAAACGTGCATCTTGTTCGTTGCAAACGAGGCACAGACTATCTATGCCCGGGGTCTCTCTCATCCGCTTTATCTCCGCGTATTCCATTCGATCGCTAGACACTTGAGTTGGTTTTTAACTGCTATCCCCCAAAGTATTTTTTCGATACCAAATTTTAAAAAATACAGAATTGCAACAATCTTATCAATGTCAATTTTAATTATTTACAGTTATTTATTAAATTTTAATTTAATACTTTAATTCTTAATTTTGATAACCAAACCTTTAATCTTATTCAAAGTGTGTGACTGTTTATATTTTTTAATAAAAATTTAAAACTTTAACCAAATTTTATTAATTTAACCATTAATTAAATTTTAATTCAGTAAGCGTTGGTATCGGTATCGGTATCGACGATATATCTATAAGAGTATCGGCAGAGGTGTCGGTATTTTTATATAAAATACCAATATATCTATATGTAGTCACTAATTAAGGCACTATTTTATTATATATAAACTTGCTAAGGTCTAGCAATAGAATATTAAGGGGAATGGGATAACAGATAACCTCAAAACCTACCTGAAGTAAATCGCTTTTGGCGTTGAGCTCGTGTTTAAGCTGTGTGATGAGGTCCCGAGCGCCACGTAACTCGCCCTCTAAGGCAGTGACACGAGACTCCAACCGGCCGTTAGCCGTCAGCAATTCCTTGCCGATACGAGCAGTTAGCTCCAAATCCTTTTCTTTCTAGAAACACAATGCATTTTTCAATATATACAGAGTTTTTTGAAGTTATACTTCTTTTGGCGCGTTAGGGAAAAATGATGAAAGTAAATTTTAACGATGCGCGCGCACGCCGTCACACAAACCCGACCCTAAAGTTAGCTATACATAGTCAACATTTATTTAACATCTATGGTTAGTTAGTGTCTCTTTTTCTACAACGGTAGAATAAATTTTTTGAAAAGATTTTTATCTTGTTACGCTAAAGAACTTCTAACGCGTATACATAAAGTTTTTTATTTATTGTCACCGTGTCTCGTTTCAGACAACTAAATTATTATATTTATTTACCGTATACATAATAAAAATGCAATAGTGTGGTGGGAGACAGTTTAAATTTAATAATATTACTTTCTTATTTCTATGACTATAAAGGTCAGAAATTATTATTAATCAGAGTTAAGACTAAACACTGTCTTCCGTATTTTATAAACGTTAGGATATCATGCGTTAGTAGAAGGTTTTACACCTGCAAGCTAACCTCGAATATATCCTTATTTTTGCATTGCGAAAGATATTCCTAATACCAGTAATAAATGCTACAGGGAATAGATTTTTTATCTCTAAAGAAGACGTGAAACATAATATTTTTTAAATACTCTATTCGTAGCAATAACAATTAATGCGACTTGAATAAATTTTTATCATCAAAACTTCTGAATCAAACAAATATTTGACATCACAGATTATAGAAAATATCCAAAACAGATAGATAAATAGATTTTGGCATAATGAGTAACAAACAAACACAATCAGAACAAACATAAAAGTACACACCCTCACATTTTCAAACCGTTCACTAATAATTGACGGCTTTTTAAAATTACGTTTAAAATTAAAGAAATCCATCAAATATATTACTAATAGAGCGAGTCGCCTGCACTCCTGCGCCGACGAAACGTTTTTGATTACTTTCGTAAAGGGTTCAATTGCACTTTAGAACTTGTTTTATCTTAATTACGCTATTCTATTTACTCAGCTATTAAGTAATAAGTCTGTTCCAAATGGTTCTTTCTACCACGAAAGCTCTTTTGAATTCAAATATCGAACTTACAAATTTTCCATCGACTTGTATTACAATTATATATTTTTCTGCTATTAGTTTTAATCTCTTTCCTAGACTATAAAATTAAGACATCACGCAATACAAAAAAACGTGTCCAAAAATTCACGTTAATTAGAAAAAGTACTTACTTCTTCTAAGAGCCTTGTTACCGCTTCGATGTCATTGTAGGTTTTTGTCATTTGGCTCACCCTGTTGCTGCATAGAACTGTAAACACACGACTACTTATTAATCACTCCAAAACCTTTATCAAATTGTAGAAACAAAAGATAAGATACTAACAATATAAACAATAGCGACACAAATTAATAGTGTGATAGATAGCAAATAATGTCAACAGAATAGCATGCTTATATTTATAGATATACCCGCTAAATCCAACCAGTCATTTTCAGTAATGGTAGCATCAGAGCAAGCAATTTTTAAATTACGCATTGAGATGCGATTAGGGCGTATGTTACTGGAATTGTACGTTTGGATAATTGATAAACTATGATTTGTACGCGTAAGTGAAAACTAAACTATGTCAGTCCTAAACAGCTCAGTTGGTCACGCGTGGTCAATAAATCTAAATTGAATTTAAATCCGTCAGGTGTTTATCTAAACGGCGCATATCACTTTGATAATGTATTACTAATATAATACGATTATTTTGTTAAGACTTTACATAGAAATTATTTTGCATACAATCGAAGTCTCGCATCGAGAGCATACCGATCCTTCAACGGAATGAAGATATCGTAATACACTATTCTTTCACAACACAATGAATTTAAACACACATTATTGTACGACTGATACAATTCACGAAACATACAATCTTATAACCGCTTCAACGTCAAATAAACTGACCAGCAAAAACTTCGTCGATGTCTACCGATTGCAAATTCATGGATTCGTTTATGTATGAACCATGGTCATATAACAGATAATACAAGGAATTAAACAAAGCTGGCTTCAGCACGAGCGTGAACCGTCACACAAAGTTATTGACTGCGTACAACCTGCGTATTCTATTGTGTAACATGGGAAAACTGGAAACAAAACATGTTAAGCTATTCGTGAATGAGAGTTTCGTGTAGTTTTTGTATAGATTTCTATTTATTTACATACACTATTTGGTACAAGACATAGGCATCTCTTATTCTTGTTTTTTACGCAGAACTGGGCAGACGTGTGGCCACAATCCTACCTGATGTTAAGAAAAAGCTTATTAACCGCCGTTCAAATGAGCCCATATTATACTGTCTAGGAAAGGTTTTTTATAAGAAACGACGAACCAAATTGTGCATTGCACCTGGGGATTATACAAAAAAATCTCACCGTCAAATTTCCATAGTACTCTTATTGAAAATAAAACATACCACACATTCTTAAACTAATGTATATGAATTAATAAGATCGAAAGCGACCCCAGAAGTCTCTATGCGGTAGATAAGAGTGTTTTAGCGGCTTCTCACTCGCTCTATGAGTAGCATAGTCTACTTCCATTGAACTACAGAGAATGCGAAAATAGAATTTCCTACACGGTCATAAGAAATGTGTAAAATAA